TTCGACTCATTGGATAGGACTGTTCTCTGGGATTGTCTATTGAAGAAGGGTGTGCCTGAGAAGTTTATTAACATCCTAAAAGCCCTATATACAAACACCTCAGGCAGAGTGAGGGCATACAACCACCTTTTTCCACTGCTCCATTCGAGCAGTCAGGTCAGACAGGGTTGCCCAATCTCACCATTCCTCTTCAACTTTGCCATCGGTGACATTCTGGAAACAGCTCTGATGGATGTAAGTAATGGCGGTGTGGATCTGTTGACTAGAGAAAGACTTCTCGACCTTGAGTATGCGGACGATATTGTCTTACTGTGCGATAATGCCCAAGCCATGCAATCCACACTTAATCAGTTGATAATCAGTGTCCGTAGGTATGGTATGTGCTTTGCACCTTCGAAGTGCAAAGTACTTCTACAAGACTGGCAGGATTCTAATCCTGTACTCACTCTGGATGGTGAGCAGATGGAAGTAGTCGAGAAGTTCGTGTATCTGGGTAGCTGCATAAGTGCTGGTGGGGGTGTGAGTGATGAGATCAATGCACGAATAGTGAAAGCCAGAGTGGATTATGCCAATCTGGGTCATCTTTGGTACCTTCGTGGTGTCAGTCTGGTTGTAAAACGCTGGGTCTACAACGCATCGGTGAGAGCAGTTTTGCTCTATGCTTGTGAAACCTGGCCTCTCCGAGTTGAGGATGTTAGACAGCTCTCTGTGTTCGATCATCGTTGTCTCCAAAGGATTGCTGACATTCAGTGGCAACAACATGTCAGTAATGCAGAGGTTCGGCATCGTGTTCGGGCACAGAGACGATAATCCAATTGGTGTCACCATCTTGAAACACCGACTTCGGTGGCTTGGACATGTTCTACGAATGTCGTCCCAGAGAATTCCACGTCGTGCATCATTCGCCGACTCTGGGACTGGTTGGAAAAAGCGGAGGTGATCAGTATACGACATGGTGTCGTGGTATGAAAGAAAGCTGCAAAGGGGCTGGCTTGTGTTGTTCTTTCACGACTCCCTGGTTGGGGTCTGAGAGGTGGTGCTACACAGTGGCTAGAGATGTTATCAGATATGGCTCAGAATAGAAGCCAGTGGCGATCCTGCTGTAACCTTCTTTTACTTTCTTCATAAAAAGTGGTTGTATCTTCCTTAACTGAAGGATTTCTTCTGATTGTACGTTTCTTTTTCCCCCATTATTATTATTATTATTAGTATTAGTATTAGTATTATAACACTACCTTACACTAATCTGGTCACTATTGTTCTTTTTTTCTTTCACGCTCCATACCTTTTTTTCTCTTCTCGTTCTCATTGTTTTGTGTGGCGCATATATATTTGAAGCCCTATTGTAATAATATTTATGTGTTCAAATAAATAAATAAATATGAAAACATTTCTATGAGATCGGGTGATTATTGCCACCCTCACCCACCCACAAAACCACGAATTTAAAGTGAACGCACCATGTGCAGAACCATTGGAATTTCGATCCATCCCTATAATTAATTAAAATATTACACCTAAGTAACAATTACTTACACTGATTAATTAATGGTTTCTTGATATCGTCCTCTTATCTTAGTACTCATTTTCAATCTCATCATGTTACTTCGATTTTATTCATCTAATCAGGCACACAAATCTGGTACAATTTAGTACAAAAAGTAGAATGTGCCCTACAAATACAGAAGTGGGGCTGTTAAGAAAAAAGAGTGAAAGTGAGTACTACTAAAAAGATTAGCCTCAACTATGACGCAATTACTAGCAGTCACATATCTACACAAGCTTCTTAATTACTTCTAATGGGTTACTGGAAATAATGAGTGCAAGCATAGGTGTCTATGTCAGTCTTGTAGAAGCAATTTGGATTTGTAGGGTCCAAAATACATGCCGTACTAGTAGACATTAAGTGTTAACTAATTGGATGAGGTCTGCATAGTTTGTGTATTATCGCATTTCAAAACGATGTCATCCTTATACCCAAAGTCTAAGTAACAGATCTACACCACCACCAACTAATTCTATTAGAGCTGTTTCTAGAACATCATCAGTAGGAAAGTTAACAAGGAATGGTGAGATTGATCAGTCTTGTCTAACTCTACCATTGGAATAGGGCGAAGAGTTACAGCGAATTTGTTTAAATTAATCCATTTAGAATGATATACAATACAACTTTATAGTAAAACAATATTATCACGAACGTTACTCACCTTCATGAATAACTTTTTTGTGTACATATAAATCATATTTCGTAGAAAGCTTTTTGTTACATTGACTACATGGATATTTTATTCCTAAAGAAAAGCAAGACAATAGTTATTATTATTAAATGTACCGATTCTGTGGCAGTGTCTGTCATTGAAAGGCGTACCCCAGAAGTACATAAACCTTGTAAAGGCTCTTTACTCGAACACTACTAGTCGAGTGAGAGCTTATGGTGAACTGTCATCTGCTTTTGCAACCTCAAGTGGTGTCCGTCAAGGCTGTCCACTTTCCCCATTTTTGTTTAACTTCATCATAGATCTACTGATGGAAATAACTTTCTCGTCGACTGAGTTCTCGGGTATTGATCTCCATCCAGGAGGTCCACTTATCGACTTAGAATACGCAAATGACATAATCCTGTTTGGTGAAGACGCTGACAAAATGCAGAGTCTTCTGGTAGCACTGAGCAACAATGCCAAAATATTTGGAATGCGCTTCTCGCCCTCTAAATGCAAGTTGTTGCTTCAGGACTGGTCTGCGTTAACACCTGAACTAAGGATAAGGAGTGAAGTAGTCGAACGCGTTGACAACTTCACTTATCTTGGAAGTCTGATCAGCCCTAATGCGTTGGTGTCTGACGAAATCTCAGCACGGATTCGAAAAGCTCGTTTGGCTTTTGCCAACTTACGTCACCTATGGCGAAGGCGAGATATCCGTCTATCAATAAAAGGACGAGTATACTGCACGGCAGTCCGTTCTGTTTTAATTTACGGCAGCGAAACATGGCCATTAAGAGTAGAGGACACACGTAAGCTACTAGTATTTGACCACAGATGTCTTAGAAATATTGCTGGCGTCTGCTGGGATCACCGTGTAAGTAATAGTGAGGTTAGACGCAGGGTATTAGGAAATGATGGTAAATCAGTTGATGAGGTTATGAATCTTCATCGACTGAGATGGGTGGGCCACGTGTTACGTATGCCTGAACACCGATTACCACGACGTGCAATGCTATCCGGTATTGGAAATGGTTGGAAGAAAATTAGGAGCGGCAAAACCAAAACGTGGCATCAATGCTTGAAGTCACTAACTTCTGGTCTGAGCCATGTTGGTAGATGCAGACTACTTGGTTGGGGTCCGCGTGACTATCGTAATCAATGGTTGGAGACTGTTGGTGACATGGCTCAGAATCGATCACAATGGCGTCGGTGTATACACTTTCTGTCTTCCCTTAAACTAAGAGATTGAAATCGCTTCATACCTTTCTTTCTACGAACCAATTTTTTCTTCTTGTACTATATCGCTATATGCAATCTTTCTCTTATATATTACCACCATTGACCTAACCACTGCTATGAATCCGGTGTTCATCTTATGTGCTGATGCGGTATGGCAACCTGGACCAATGCACATATGTGCCTAGTCCTACGTTGTAGCTGACTGACTGACTGAAATGTACCGATACAAATTCGCTATATATATATATATATATATATATATATATATATATATATATATATATTTCTGTATAGTAACGGTTTAGAACACATATACTTTAAATAAACATAACCATTTTGCAAGAAAAGAGGTTTGAGCGAGTAAATATTGATCATTGTTGTATATGAGAAATTAGGATCCCCATTGGCCGAAAGATAAACACAAACACACGGCTGAGTAATAGACTGGGAAAACTGGATAAAGATAGATACACAGATACCCTACGCACCTTCAATCACATTCTATACCAGAAACCAACATCACATTATCAAGTTACGCAAGTACATAGACACACATGAATTCAAGAAAACCAGTCAGCTTGCGAGACGTGTTTTCAGTGAAATATTCCAACGAAACAGGTTACTACACCATAATGTTACATGACTTGAAAAATTCAACCTTAAGTCCTATCGTTTTGCATACTCAAACCGGACTTGACTGTAATAAACCACAATGTAACCTGGTAAGTACAACAAAGGAGAGCTTACTAATGTCTTCTCAGTCAATACCTGTAACCCCAAACTACAATACATCAACTGGAACTACAAAGAACGGGTGCGAAATGTAACATTTTGATTTCAAGGTTGGAATATGTACAGACAATTGAGGATACTTAGAGTTATGTGAGATCATTGGTCTTTAGAAATTTCCGAAACACTCCCACAGTAACGTCCTACGTAAATGTCCAGTTAAAAACAAGACAAACGATTTTTCATTTCTTAGATGTTTCTAAGCTTCTGTTTTACACTACTTGGAAATAACATTTCCCGGTTTTGTGACTGTAGACTTTGGCAAGAAATCTTTTGGGACTCTCAAATAAAACTATTATATAAACCTTCAAACACAGACAATGATAATGATGGATAAACAAACTGAATCACAACAACTCAAGCTATTTCAAAACAAAAACTCGATAGTATAGCGTGAGGTAAAGAGAACCTTGTAATTATCTACAGAAGAAACAACATACTTCAATTTATACGATCGAGTAATACAACTAGCCACAAACCAATAATGTTAATATACTAGTAAAAATATGAATACCTTGATTTATCAATACATTCTAACAAATTTCAAAAGAATCCCTCCTTATTGAACAAGCTCATTTCCCATTATCTTATAATCATGTAGTTCATACCTTTCGAAAATTTTATTACTCGTACTTTTCTTATAGTAAGAAAACGTCAATAAAAAAACAGAGTGAAATAAAAATGGGATTAGTGAACAGGGTGTATAGGCATATTAAAATCCACAAAAATACACGTAAATGTAATTGTGTGATTGTAAAAAAAAGACTATACCTTGATGAATTGATTGTATGTGTCTAGTTAGTTGGGATTTCGTAGTGAAGTTCCTGTCACATTCATCACATGAAAGATTAATACCTATGAGAATAACAACACAAAGATTTCTCAAAATATAATTAATCATTTAAGACAATAATACCAGTAAAAAATAAAGTTTTCGGGACCTCATATTATGTGAACAAATCAAAAGATGTTAGGAGGTATTCGTAAGCGACTAAATAGTCGAAAAGAAATTTTGTAGAGACTTATTGAAAAGGTATGTTGCACACAACATCATAATTACCACAATGCCCCTAAATGCCCTGGTACGACTGATAGTGGGGAGAGTCCGCTCTTCCTCTCGAAATTCTCATATGGCCACGTGTATACAGCCACTACCACGGAAGTCCTACTCACTGCCTTCTTGTGGCATTACTGTTGTTTACGAAATTGAAAGGACGAAAAGTGAGACTACGGCGCTTTATCTGGGTTGGTGGACATGGAGAGTCCATCTAGGGGAGTTGAAAAATCGTGATTCTAAACGAATGGTACACATGGGCTCCAGTATCCTGCGGGAACAAATGGCGTATGAACCAGTCGTTGGTCACCGGCTACCATCGGACTGCATCTCCTTACGATGTTCTAATGCCTTGTGGATCAGACCTTCATGTTAAAGGCTCGGGGTGTGGCCCCTTAAGAAAAGCACCTGCGTTGGTCTGGGCACCCGGGCAGCATCACAGCCCTCACACAAATCTCATTTCATTTGTGTGGCGCCTCCTTGTACCAATATTTGTGTTCAAATAAAATAAAACAAAAGATAATTACCACAATAACTCACCTTCATGAATAACTTTCTTGTGTTCAATTAAATGGAATTTACTTGAAAACTTTCTGTCACATTTAATACATGAATATTTTATTCCTAAAGAGAAAAGAAACAATAATTAAGACTATGAAATTTCGCAAGCCAATCATGACTGAGTCAACATTAGAGATCTGTTATCACTTGTGTGAACTGGGATACTATCTAGACGCCGAAACTAAAATAAATGATTTTGTTAGGTCGATTACTATCGGGACATATGACCTAAAGATCTAATTCACGTTAAGACATCCAGTTCCCAGGGTAGCCAGTGATCAGAATCGATTTGTACACCATACATTTATTAAGGAAACCAGAGCTCATAGTACAGCATTCCTTTCAAATCAGTTTTTCAACTGCTCCACGTCGCCCCTCAGTATCCACAGACCCGGTTAGAACATTGGACGTTCGCTTTCCGTTTTCTCATAAAAGCATCCAAACCATATGCTTTTAGTCTGAAGAAAAAGTTTAGGTGGTTAAATTACAATCGCAGAGGAATTGAATTGCATAATAAACTGATTTTCTGATACGAGGTCCCTATTTGTTAACTGATTTCTAAACCGGACTTTTATTGTAATCTATGTGCATCTATAAGTTGTGCAACATCAAAAAAGGTCGGTTGTTTATCTATTACATCGAAATTTACTGATACTAGTACTTGATAAAATGAGTGTGTGTTTTTCACTCAGTCGCTAAATGACGTTTCCCAACCACTGGATCAGATAAACAGAATCAATCAATATCAATTCCCTGAGACTTCTAACTACTCGACTTTTTAAGTAGAAAGTACCCCAAGTCGCAATATGCCAAAAACAAAATAGCAACTATAGTATATAGAGTGAACTAATGACCATTTATTTCATTGAGATAGTGATAGCTTGGTTTTTATTATTTTCCGTGTCCATGACCATGAACCCCGACCACCCCCCCCCTCCGAAAAAGAAGGAAATCAAGATACAACACTCACTACCACCAACTATTTATTTAAAAAATTTTAATGTCCTTTTGAGACACATACTGTATCTTACTGTTTACTATAGAGAAAACAGCATTTGGTTTAAATCTTCAAAAGAATGTAAAAGAATGTAATGTGAGGTGTGGGCAGCCGGGAAGTGACATCAGCCCTCATACCCGTAACAGCACAAGAGACCAAGGTGGTCACATTCAAATCCTTCCTACACCTCCTAATACCTCTCTTATCCTCCCGACTAACCCTCCTCACGTCTCTTTATCACCTCGCACCGCTAGGGCAAACGATTCGAGTACGTGGAACGCCATTCCTGGTCTCCTGAAACCACGCTCTAAACTACACGTAGGAGCTTTTAACGTACGAACACTGTGCCAAATAGGACAGCAGGCTTCCTTAGCTAGGACTTTAGAATCTCGCGCCATCGATGTGTGCTGCGTCTCCGAAACGCGCATACAAGATCCGAGTAGCGTCATTCATTTGACCTCACCATGCCAAAATAAAGAACCGACTCGATTTACGCTTCGTGTATCTGGAAGCCCTGATGCTGCTTCCCGTGGCCTCGCCGGCGTAGGTATAGCATTGAGTCCTAGGGCTGAACTAGCTCTCTTAGAGTGGATCCCAGTAAACAGTCGTTTGTGCGCTGTCCGACTGAACGGAACAGTAAGAATCCGGAAAGATAGGGACACTCGTCGTTGCCTCTTCGTCGTCTCTGCCTATTCTCCCACTGACTGCAGCTCAGATGATGTAAAAGATGAGTTTTACAGAAAGCTTTCGGACCTTCTCCGAAAAGCTAAGCGCTCGGATGTAGTAATAGTGGCCGGTGACTTTAATGCTCAAGTAGGTAAACTAAGCGATAAGGAAAGACACCTAGGTGGATCCTATGGTGTCGTGGCTCAAAGAACAGATAATGGCGACCGTCTGTTGCAGCTATGCTCAGATAACCGCCTGTTCCTTGCAAATACTAACTTTAAGCATAAGGAAAAACATCTTTTAACATGGCGACCCCCTAATTCGTCCCAACGTTGGACCCAAATAGATCACATCGCTATCAGCCACCGATGGAGGGGCTCGATAGAAGACTGTCGCTCATTCTGGAGCACATGCCTAGATTCAGATCATGCTCTAGTGCGAGCGCGTATTTGCTTGCGTCTTACTGGACGTAGGAAAGATCCTGCAAGGAAACCTCTTAGGGCCCTACTTAATGATAGTCAAGCTAAGAATACATTTCAGGAACAACTAGGAAAACAGTTAGGCAGCCATGTATGTGATGCCCACCCCGAGGCAGCATGGAACGATATCCGAAAAGCTGTGGAAACAGCAGTGATATCTGCTAGTAAGGTAAACCGTAAAATTAGGGAGCAACACTGGATCTCAGCAGCATCTAGCGCACTGATAGATGCTCGAAAACTCATTCCACCTGGCTCTGAACATGATGAAGAGCGGAGTCAGCTTAAGCGCAAGCTGACAAGAAGTCTACGCAATGATCGCGAACAGTGGTGGGTAGCGAAAGCAAGAGAGATGGAAAAGGCAGCGGCAATAGGTAATAGCAGACAATTGTTTAGACTCGTTAAGGAAACCGGAATTAGGAACCCGACCGTTAGCGAAACAATCTCAGAGAAAGATGGACATATTATTCCTTCTCAATCCAGGAGATTGGATCGATGGGCAGAACACTTTAGGGATCAGTTCAACTGGCCTTCAGCCACACTTCGGTTTCCCACGATCTCCAGTCAACCTGAATGGCAAGTTAATGTAAGTCCTCCGTCCCTTTACGAAGTTGAAAAAGCCATAGGAAATCTGAAACGAGGGAGAGCAGCAGGCCCTGACAGGTTTACTCCTGAGATTTTTAAGGATGGTGGTCCAGTATTAGCAGCAAGATTAACTGAGGTCTTAGGTAGAATTTGGGAACTGGACGTAATCCCATCTGACTGGTCTCAATCACTGATTGTGCCAGTTTTTAAGAAAGGACAAAAGTCCTCCTGTGACAATCACAGAGGGATCAGTTTGACTAATATGGTGTCTAAAATATTAGCTTCAATAATACTTCGACGCCTAACTAAAGCTCGTGAAGAGCAGACTAGAGAAAACCAGGCTGGTTTTCGACCTGGACGTGGTTGTATAGATCAGATATTCACACTACGTCAGGTTCTAGAACAGAGACACACATTCAGACGCCCCACAATGGTAGTATTTCTCGACCTTAAGGCGGCATTCGACTCCGTTGATCGTGAGGTTCTATGGCAGTGTTTGTCACTGAAAGGAGTACCAAAGAAGTACATTAACCTTATAAAGGCTCTCTACTCGAACACAACTGGTCGAGTGAGAGCTTATGGCGAACTGTCATCAGAATTGATCACCTCAAGTGGTGTTCGTCAGGGCTGTCCACTCTCCCCATTCTTGTTCAACTTTGTCATTGACATACTTTTAGAGATAACACTCTCCTCATCTAAATTTACAGGGGTTGAACTTCTACCAGGAGGTTCACTTGTTGACTTAGAATATGCAGATGACATAGTTTTATTTGGTGAAGACGCTGACAAAATGCAGAGTCTTCTGACCACTCTAAGCAACAATGCAAGCATGTTCGGGATGCGATTCTCTCCCTCGAAATGCAAAATGTTGCTTCAGGATTGGGTTACATCGACACCCGAACTAGTGATAGGGAGTGAAGTAGTTGAGTGTGTCGACCGCTTCACTTATCTTGGAAGTCTCATCAGCCCTTGTGGTTTGGTGTGTGACGAAATCTCAGCACGGATACAGAAGGCTCGACTAGCTTTTGCCAACGTGCGTCATTTATGGCGTAGGCGAGATATCCGTCTATCAACCAAAGGACGTGTTTACTGCGCAGCAGTTCGTTCCGTCCTACTTTATGGCAGTGAAACATGGCCGGTAAGAGTAGAGGATATCCGTAGGTTACTAGTATTCGATCATAGGTGTCTTCGAAACATTGCTCGTATATCATGGGACCATCGAGTAAGTAACACAGTTGTTAGGAAACGGGTACTAGGTAAGGATGGCAAATCAATTGATGACGTAGTGAAACTTCATCAGTTGAGATGGCTGGGACATGTGTTACGTATGCCCAACGACCGACTGCCTCGACGTGCTATGTTCAGTGGTATAGGAGTAGGTTGGAAGAAAGCTAGGGGCGGCCAAACCAAAACATGGCACAAGTCCATGAAGTCACTGACAAGTGAACTAAGTCATGTTGGTAGGTGTAGACTACCTGGTTGGGGACCGCGAGATGACAGCAACCGATGGTTAGAGACCTTGAATGACATGGCTCGAAATCGTTTGCAATGGCGCAGGTGCATCCACTCTCTGTGTTCTCCAAAACTCTAATCTTCTGAATTCTTCATGTCCCTTTTTCCCTCTTTCCAAATTTCTTTCACTGGATTATACTCTTTAAATAACATCTTCAAACCCTAATCTTCCTGATTACTGCTTATACTCTTGCTACCTCTACCACTACGGGATTTGAATCGACCACTGCATCTCTGTGCTAATGTGGTGTGGCAACTCGAACTGATGTACGTACGTACGAAGTTCTACGTTGTTACTGACTGACTGACTGAGGTATAATGATGTAGATGAACTGTTTTTTTTATAAGGAAAATTTATTTATTTATTGAAAATAATACAAAATGAACACTGTGGAAAAATGGGTATTAAAATGAAAACAGACAGGTGGAAACAAATGCAATTTATTCTAAGCATACAATCTAGTGTGATACCATCTATCATTGCAAGTTTCGGTTTAAAAAAACCAAAACCTGACTTCTAAAGAAAGAAGTATGAATCAACAACATTTAGTCTATGGCAACATTGAAGCAACAAACGATCACAACCTATTAAGTGTAATAAGCAAACAAATAACAAGAAATGTGTTATCTACTTTTGTGAATGCTTTTAATGTGACGGTCCCGTCCAGTAATTGTTGAAAACGTCTTGTTGCAAAAACCACACGACAGTTTCAGTCCTATAAATATTAAGAATTAATTTAGGAAATCCACTGTAAGAACAATGGGTGATTTGAAAGAACAGTAAAAAAGAGAATCTCCTACAATAAAGATTACTACCAAGGTGAATTACCAAACTATTTTTTGACGTGTATTAGAGATTAATAAAATACACATAAAAATAAATATGTATCTTAATGAGCATATCAGTCATAGTTTACAACTAGAATGAACTCTGTAAACTTCCTACATTACATCAGATTCAGTAATCAACAATTCACACATTAACAGTTCTATTTAGTAATGAACACTGTAAATTCAATGTGAAGAACATTTTCAAAGGATGAACAAACTACAATTTAGTTAGTGTGTTTCTTTCAAGATTATACCTACCCTTTTCAGAATCTTGTACTGATGAAATTTGATGTCGCTTAACAGTTGTACCACCATTAATACGGTTATGAGTATTAACAATGTGACCATCATTAGAGTTATATTTATCTATAAAAGTGGATCATACAATATTATATTCATGTTACTAAAGAATTTAATAACGTAATAATCAGATTTGCAAAATTCATTTGAGGAAAAAAGGTAAACAGAAATAAATCTATCCATGATGTGCATCATTAAAACCATAGATGATGAAACTAATATACATATACCAACAGAAAGGATGCAGAAAGCTTCTAAATACAGTTCAGTCATTATATTTATCCAACATACAGATCATTAAGACTGTTGTAAAAATTAAAGTCAAGATAAATCTATTGACAGATTCATTTTTCATTAGATATAACTTAACAAAGATTTTGAATGACCAACATTGAATACATTTAGAATAAAACTTTAATGATACAGGTAAAGAGTTAAAATACCTTAGTAAAATAGTTTTAAGATCAAATCTGTTCAGAGGATTATTAGAAAAACCAGTAAAGTATTATATTTATATTTGATTGATCGGAGCAGCTTTACACCATATTCCCAAAGTGAACAGAATGGAAGAAATGAGCGAAATTGTTTCAGTCGTCCAAAAGTTATGGTCAAAAGTGTCTTCACGAAATTCATGGTCTCGGGTATTTCCGTAGGATTTTGTTACAGTTAATTTCTGTAAGAATTTTTAGATCATATTTCCTAATTAACCTTTGAATGGCTGGATAGATTTCGCTCATTCTTGATATATTTTGTGCTGAATTGCAAATATTGTTGTTTCTAAACCAATTTTTCATCTATCCAGAACTCATAATCAATCGAGCAGCAGTGTACAATCTTAAATTATTCAAACCCCTAAAACATGTATAAGTATCTTGATATAATTATATATAATTCAACAAATTATTGAAAGTAATAAACTGTAGTAAAACTTACGTTTAAAACTATCCTCGAAATACAACGATTGATTATCTCGCAAAATTCCCAACTTATTATCTATTAGGCTGTCATCCATAGTGTTATCATAATTACATTCTTCCGCTAAAAACAAATATATCTATAAGAATGCAGAATATATAGTCAAACGATAGATAATATAGTCAATAACGTAACTATTATCTATAATTGAAGATGGATTTATTACTAATAATGAGCGGTCACTGAACGGTGCGTAGCTAATAACATGTTTTTCTCGTCTGTTAGTAATGATCATCTTTACAATGTACCTACTAGCTTTAACCACGACTTGCAAGTTCGCTATGTTAGTTGATTGCACGAAATCGTTAAGAAACCATGAATCAGACTTTTGTGTGAATTGCCACTCGACATCCGTAAGATTTACCTGCACATTCTTGGTGGGACTGATGTTTCCTGTTGGACTCCAGTCCAGGTCAATCAGTGTCACAGTGACAGATACCATTACTACTGAGTCATTCTAGTCGCAACTAAGGAGCATCATATAGCACGAGACTCAAGCCTAGGGTTCCTTGGCGATTCCCTTTAACCCCTTAATATTAGGATTTACTATGCATTCACACTTACGCCATATCCAATGTGTTATTCCCTACCTCACTTATTTCAACCCACTCCTTTTTTAGTATTTTACTAATATTCATGCAACTATTCCTACAATTTTATCTCCGAATTGAGGTTTACATTAAAAGTGTCAGACATACTAGAATATTTTGTCGACCTAGCACAAACATGTATTAGGTCACTTCACAGCATTACACTAGCTTACTGTGATAAAGTTAATGAGATAAAAGGTAAATGAGATGGCTGTATTGTTGATCACAATATAACAAGTAAAAATGTGTGGGTGACGTTCAAATACCCACAAAACAATAAGATAACAATAATAATTCTGATGTGGTATTGAAAGTAAAATATGACTGGACAAACAGGCACTTAGCCTACTGACTATTCAATATGATTTTCTTTCCTCTAACTGAATTATACTCCGGACTTACTGAGAGTAACTCCTTGGATGAAGTATTATCTAGTGTTAATCTGACACTATTCTAGGTCGCGAATACTGGATCTAATATAACGTGACTAGTTTTATTGCTGTATTAAGGTATTATCGTAGCATACTTGACAAAAATATTCCAAACCAACTGTGATATTGAATCCATATGAGGGCATCTGAAAGATATTTGTTATTCGATGTCATCAATTGTTCACATGACTAATGAAAAAACTTAAGATACCTTAAGAAACAAACTTAACAAAAAATGTAAAATTAAGATAGAGAAAGTAGAAATAAATTAATGGACCGAATACATAGCATTTAAAATTACTTTTCAAATCAGTGACTGGGCCTAGTTCAAGTTAGTTTTAAATAGGACGACCTATTTTATTTATTTATTTATTTTAACACAAAAATTGGTACAAAGAGGTACCGAATACATATGCGCTATATAAGTCACTTGATTTGTGTGTGGGCTATTATACAGCCCGGGTGCCCAAACCGAAGCAAGTGGTTTTCTTAGGGGACCACACCCGGAGCCTTCGACCTGAAGGTCTGGCTCACAAGGCAGTGGAGCATCGTAAGGAGATGCAGTCCGATGGTAGCCGGTGACCAACGATTGGTTCATACGCCATTTGTTCCTTCACGATACTGGAACCCATGTGTACCATTCGTTTAGAATCACGATTTTTCAACTCCCCTAGATGGACTCTCCATGTCCACCAACCCAGATAAAGCGCCGTAGTCTCACTTTTCGTCCTTTCAATTTCGTAAACAACAGTAATGCCACAAGAAGGCAGTGAGTAGGACTTCCGGGGTAGTGGCTGTATACACGTGGCCATATGAGAATTTCGAGAGGAAGAGCGGACTCTCCCCACTATCAGTCGTACCAGGGCATTTAGGGGCAGGACGAGCTGTGTATGGATTATAAAGCCTCCTTTAAATTTACTGACGTAAGAACTTATCAACGAGTCGCTATATACTTTGATAGCTTTTTTCTAATTCAACAAACCTGTGTAAAGCTGTTGACGTTAAAAGTAAATTATTGTTACTGACCTTGACTCATTCATTTGGCACAATGAGGTTGAACAGTGACCGGTGATGTTAGTAGTTATAAGTTAATGGACTTTCAGATATGAACAGACTGACATAAAAGTGCATCATGACTTTTGAGAAAGCCTATGGATGACGGATCATGTAACACAAATTACGTCTGATTACATAACAAGCATCAGTATATTTCTCTCAAAAAGTTTCTATGTATACGTATAAGTTTCTTATAACGTGTTGATGGATAAATCCGTTGCACTAGTATAAAGGTAACCACCCACCTTTTATGTAGTTTCCAAGCCCAATCTTTAAATCATTTGATGATTTGCAGATCACACCATCTAACCCCATTGGTTGTTCAACCTTACAAGTAATTCCAAAACAGAAGTCAGATACAGGTATTTCCATTTTACTTCAATGCTCAGACATTGGAAAGTTTATAGCAACTGAAACAAGTGAAAAGAAATCTTTCGAAAAGATCCAAGTACCAGAAAGTAAATCAAATTCTTACTAAAACACCTATATTTTAGAATACATCAATACAAATAAGATCCAAAATAAATATACGCCGCACAAGTAATACAATGAAATTGTGAACAGATGGTATTAGCATGACTGAGAATTCACTAAATTATGTTTCAAATAGGATCACATTTCAGTGCATCAGTTGACCCATTTTTAGTCACTACTAGCGGACAAGCTGCAAAAAACCGCAGAACTTTTCAATATAAAACTTAGATATATAATTTAGTCAACTACAAAGTCGAACCTGGTACGTATGTACACAGGTTTAAGTTGCTATACCCATATATATGAATATATTTTCTAATTATTTATTTATTTATTTGAACACATGAATAATGGTACAAGAGAGCGCCAATATATATGCGCCACACAAAACAATGAGAATTCGAAGAGAAATAGAAAAAAAAGCTAAGGAGCGCAAAAAAAGAGAGAACAATAACGAGGAGATTGGTGTAAGGTAGTACGGTAGAAATGAGGGAACGGAAAGGTACAATCAGAAGAAATCCTTCAGGTAAGGGAGACACAACCACTTTTTATGGAGAAAGTAAAAGAAGGTTACAGCAGGATCGCCACTGACTTCTATTCTGAGCCATATGTGATAACGTCTCTAGCCACTGTGTAGCACCATCTCTCAGACCCCAACCAGGGAGTCGTGAAAGAACAACACAAGCCAGCCCCTTTGCAGCTTTCTTTCATACCACGACACCATGTCGTATACTGATCACCTCCGCTTTTTCCAACCAGTCCCAGAGTCGGCGAATGATGCACGACGTGGAATTCTCTGGGACGACATTCGTAGAACATGTCCAAGCCACCGAAGTCGGTGCTTCAAGATGATGACACCAATTGAATTATCATCTCTGTGCCCGAACACACGATGCCGAACCTCTGATGATGAACTCTCTATGTCTATGGAGATTTTCTAATTATATTGACCACTTACTGTTTACTGTGGAATATATTTACGTTTCTTTTTATTTTTGGTCTGGGAACTAGTCGAGTGTAGTGAAGCGTTCAAAAAGATTAGTCACTAGGACGGATGAGACAACGGATGGTAAACAAGTGATCAGAAAAGTAAACGAGAATAGATTATAATAGAAGATAGTTATGACAAAAATACAACTAAGTAGAATGCTTTCAGTTAAAGGATATCTTTTCATTTTCACGAAAGATGTAGAAAAAACTACAGCAGGACCACCACTGATTTCAACTCTGAGCCACACTTGATAACGTCTCAAGCCACTGAGCTACACCACTTTGAAGACCCCAACCAAAAAGTGATGAAACGACAAAGCCACCCCTACACAGCCCTTTAATACTTTTAGCGGGACATAGACTAGATTAAAGCGTGCTCAATGCATGATTGTTTTGGTGCACGCTGATTGGCTGATTTTTATCGAATCAGCACTAGTCGATAGTCGGAGAATACTCTGGAATCTTCTTATGTAAAAACTATGAATATACCGACGTTTTCCCCTATTTTGCTTCTGACTTGCTATTTGGAATATAATCTTTTTCCTGTTCAACCGTGTTCTGATTTGGGGACTTGTCGAGTGAATCGGTGTCCGAGAATACTAAGCAATAGAAATAGCTGGGTCATTAACCGTAAGTAGAAACAGAGTTATAACAAATACCACGGTAAAATTTTATAAAACTGGGTTCATTGTAGTTACATATCCCATGATGACTACAGTTAACTGTTCGCATACCGTTGGCGAAAATAAGGGAAAACTACCCAGAACAAATTTCACGATAGTACTAGCAGGATGACTAACATACTGGACTCACTTTTATCCCCATAAGCACTGGTAAGTTCATTAATCCTGACAAATTCAAGCTTCACAGAACCAACACAAAGAAGACGATAACTCAACAGTTGACACATATTTTCAGTAACCGTTACACTAACAATGATTTTGAATGAGGATAATTTTACTTTACAGGCCGAGTCGACTCTAAGTCATAATTTTAATTCTTCAGACTAAATTATAACCCTCATTTAATTTTGGAAGTAAGCATTATTAAGGCTACTCAAAATTCGCTCAAAGGTTGTTCATAAATCATAGTCTCACGTTATCCACATTCTTTAGGAATGTTACATAGAATAGTGCTTTGCATAGTACACACTATCCTTTTTTTACAAAATGACTACGTAATTAGTACATACCGAACTCAAATCCGGTTTCTGATAAATTCTTAATAGCCTACCAATGCGATTGTTAATGTATTGCCGACAAGTTATGATAAAAAGTCGTTATATATATATATATATATATATATATATATATATATATATATCTTAGTCATCTAAGTAGGAGTAAAGATTGGATGACTAGGCCAATTAAGATACTGAGGCCGTGCAAGACAAACATTGCCAACCCCCAGAAAATATAAGTCGTATCATGAAGATAGAGACAATAAGGCGACAGTATCAAGCGGCAAGATCACAATTTAGATACGAACCAGTCACTACTATGATAGCAAGTCTTGGATTTTAGCAAATAATCCGAATTACTTGGTTGAATGATGATTTAACCGTATAGCTATAGAATGTTTGTTTTGGCACTGTAGCTAATGTAGGTACAAGATGTAAACCTCAACGCCGGTTCGTAACCCTGAGTTTTAACTATAACTCCTAATTGCGGCAAGGTTTAAACGTTAGGTCCTTTTGAAATGTGTCCGCCCTTTCGTTTCAACGACCAGCGCGGCAATTCAAATTGGTTAGACTCACAGACTAACGACCTTCAATGATAAAGTTAAACATACCGCTGACAAGCCAGTATACTAAGTGACTACCTTCTCATCTAATGCAATAAAACTTTTTTTCGAAAGCTTGTATAAACTATCTAATTGTACGCCCCCGCTATTTCTTTTTTCGGCACGGCTCCATGCATTTGGTTATATTCAATCGGTGATAGTCTGGCAAGTAGACTAAATTAGTTGTCAGTCCGGTAGTTACTCGTGGATTGTAGTCTAAGTTATTACGTTTTTCTCAATGAATTAGATCTTCTGGATACCATCGGCCATCGCATTGTAATTCAGGAGGTTGTTTGGTTGCAGTTTGAAATTAATAAAACGATTATTCATGTGCTACGGGAGGATGATTGATTTAGGAATAACTCAATTAATTACTTGGATTATAGTGTGTAAGAAGACGGAATCGAAATAGTAAGGGGGAAATGGAGATGATAATAAGGGAGATGAGAAGCAGTTAATGGTTATGCTGTAATGATAACCGCGGTAATTAATGTGAAATGCATCATAGGCAGGTGGTTCGAGAGGATGATGGGTGAGCATGCTTGCCAGATCTATTGAGCTTTTGTCACCAGTTGACACCATTTATAAGGCGAAAAGATCATGGCTAGTTATTAAGCGTTCAGCTGGAGTTTTCAGTCAGGTTTGTGAATCGGGGTTACGATTTTCATCACGAGATGGCATCAGCTATAAGCAAGTTCTTTGCTAACTTTAGCTTTCAAGCTTGAGAAACTTAGTGTTGAATTTTAGTGTGAGGGTAAGAAATTGTGAATTTTACCTGACTTCACTCATGGCTGCGCATTGATAATACGGATTACTCTGTCGCGCAATAGGTCCGTTTTGCAGCTTAGCTAGAGCAGCATTTTAAATTAAGTTTTTGGTCGTACAATAAATATTTTTATCTTTTTAAAACATTTCAAATACAGTTATTCCCAATTATCCCTTAATTAACAGTGACATATAAGCTGTCTACCAGACGTTGTGCACTAGGATACTATGCAGAGTAGCGTGAAAAGAAAGAGTTGGAAAACAAAACATGAGGAAAAGTGAACCGATGTTTGTTACAGAAGTGAAAACATTTGACTGATTGGAAACTGTTATATTGAATATTAGTAATGTCACAGTAATTTCGAGTATATTTGTTTCACTCAACTTTTGAACATGCTTGCTCTTATCTCTGACGTCATACACTTTGGTTTCACTTTGCCTTTGGTTTGGTATTTGGGAGTTTTTGCTCAGAGAACCTTTTGTAATTGTTATAATTATTATTGAAAAGAGGTCTGAGTCGACTAGTTGCAATTTGTGAATAAACTTTAGTGCC